TGACTGAGAGATGATTGGGATTTATTTTAGACAATCATTATCCGATCAAAATTTGTACACATGAAAGATAAATGACCCGGAAGAGAACGATCGGTTTTTTATGATCGATTTTTCATGCCTTTATTAACTTTCATATTATTCCATGTTGATGTCATGGTCTAATGAATCAGCCAATGGGAAAGCGGCAGTATTTACACTGCATGCTCATACTTCACTTTCTGGTTTGGAGCGAAACTCGAAACTCGAAACAGTTGTGGTTTTTCAGTTTGATATTTCACACTAACTCATCGCTCTATAAATTTCAGCTCAACTACGAAATCCTTATTTTAGGATATCAACTATTTAATGCAATTGGACCGCGACGCTGATTCTGACTGAACGGTAAGGTAAGAAATAACATCGATTTTTCGTTTTCACAAAAGACCTTGTCTCGGATATTAATTATTTATCATCGTACTGAAATATAACATAAATCATATCCTTTTAAAGCATTCAAAACTACGTATATTGGTGATAATTAGAGTTCTTTTTGAGCGTGTAGTTAACGAATTATTTGCGATTGAATGTTGGTGATATTTGCATGGTAAACAATGTAGGATGCGAATGCTACTGCAAGAGTCTGAGAAGGGAGGAAAATCAAATACTTTCGAGAATCTTTATATAGATTAACAATTTGTACAATCTTGTACCCTGAGCCGTCGTTTTCTTATTATATAGTCTGTGCCAATTGATTGGTTCTTGTTTTTTCTCGATTTATTATATGACTTATATGACTTATTATATGATTTATTATAGTACGCGCGGTCTTATTGGCTAGTTTCCGGTCTGATATTCACAAGAATACAATATCGATTTTCCGCCAGTGAAATTCATTGCGGAATTCCCGAGTCATCTTATGAATATTTCTTGTATCCCCATATCTAGATTGAAATAGCCCATTTTTGGCGAAAAAAAAAAACAGTGCCAGTGTGTCATGTTTTGTGCTTACCTGGCGGAATCCAAGGCAGTGTTGTTTTCAGTTTTGAGTCCATCCAATAGAAAACAAGCTGAAAAAGTGGTAAATTTCCCTTGAATACAAGACTTTCAAAGTTTAGTTGTACGAGTGTATTTGGTTCAAATATTATCGAGTTTCCTAGCAAAAAATACCTTTGTTGAAGTAAAGTCAACGAGGATATGTTTGCCGCTGTCGCGCATAAACTTATTCGACTCAAGAACTGGAAACAGTGAAGGATTCAGCGTGGAATCTAACGCTTTCAAAGCTAAATTCAATGAAAAATCAA